CCCCCCCCCCCCCGGGCATTGTGCTAGTTGAAGGAAGGAGGATTGAGGACAGAATCAGAAATCTCACAGAAATGGAACTTCAACTGTTCCACTAGACTGTCCTCTTGGAAACCAGGCAGGTTGAAAGAGCATCATCAGCATTTAGGACAACTGAATTCAGACAGTGATGACTGAATGATTAGGTAAGACTTTGAGTATCCTAAAGATAGCAATTGGTCTTAAAGGGAAATTTCAATCTAAGAAGCAAGAGTGTGTGATTCACTGTGAATGGAAAGACACTGTGGGTCTTTGACCTCATGAGTGCCTGCAGTTATGTTCTCAGCACTATCCTCCCCTGACTGTCTGACATATGCATTTCACAGTCCACTTTTAATTTTTCAAGTTCTCCTACAAGACTGTTACAAGATTTGAATACTCCTCTCTTTCTCAAAGTTGCCCACTAGACTGTTACGTATGAGCCATGGTGCTCACCCTGTCCTTCACACACCCATGCTCACTTCCCATTTCTCATAAAGATGATCCCTCTTTCTACCTTATTCAGAGTTAAATGATTGTATTAAAACCATACATATCTATAGTTTATGCTCCTGGGAGTCAAGAGAGAACATTTTTAAATTCTTTCAGGTAAATTAGCACATTGTTAGGTGACTAGAATTTCTTTATACATGTATAAGTAAATTGTGATCTAATCCTTTAAAAAATGTCTCCTCCCTACCCCTTTACAAATATATATATATATATATATATATAGAGAGAGAGAGAGAGAGAGAGAGAGAGAGAGGCATGTTTAAGATGTCTCTGGAAATGAAAAAGGACTTGCTTTAAATATGAACACAAATGTTATCAATAAGAATATACCATTAATTACACACAAAACCACCTAGAGAGTCCAACCAAAACTAAATATTTTTTTTTATATGTCTGGAGAATTGACAAACCATCCTGTTCATATTTTAGCAGCAAACTTTATAGATTTTTCAAGATAAATTTACTGAATTATTTTACCTTAGGCCATTCTCTTTCATAAATTTAACAGTTAGATTGGTAAGGTTTGTTGAAAAAAATAGGAAGACTGATTTTCCTTAATGTTATGGAGCTATGTGAATCACGGAAGAATTGAGTTGAGTGTAGCAGGCTATTTATCTCTTGTTGCCATGCCAATAATGTTTGACCATGGCATGATTTAAGAAGAGCTATCTGGATTAATGAAAGATGTGTGTCCTTCCAGTACTTCAGGAAAGAGATTACAATCAGTACACAGTCTGCGACTCAATCCACCCTAAGGTGAAATCATGCTGTTGGCAACATCTCCACTTGTCATGGAGAGTGATATTGAAGACTATTTGCTTGGACTGGTTCCAGGCCGAAAAAGCCCACAGCAAAAAATAAACTACAAAACAAGGACAAGGACATTTTCCAAGTTGTGATGACTCCTGAACACATTCCTAAATTCTTCATCCCTTCTTTGGTTGTGGCACATGTAGACTTTCATCTAAAATCAACCAAACTCCCAGAAGACAGGTATCTAGAGAGAAGGCTGTCTGATGTGATAAACAGTAAATCTCTAACAGTCTCAGGCAACTCAGAATCTTCTATAAAAGAGTATGAAGAAAACAGAAACTGGCTATAAAAAGGGTATGTTGTGATTGGCTGACAGTCTTGCTGACTGCAAGGACATACAAGAGGTGATGCATCACTCAGACACAGCAACCAGGGCTTTCCTATCACTGATTCATCTTCCCAGAGTTACAACCTTCTAAAGGTTTCTGGCACTAGGTGAAAACCCCAACACATGAAGGAAAGAATCGCTCTTCTTTGAATCTGATACAGATGTGCTCAGAACTCTGTTGTCACAGAGAAAAGCATCACAGTTAACCATTAAACCTTCTGAAGAGAAGAGGAAATCCAAACCGCCATTTCCAGACTCCCGACTTCCTCCTGCAGCAGAACCAGACCACACCTCTGCAGCTGCGGGGCCAACGTCCCTTTGCCTCTCTGACACAATGCCTTGATGACACAATGCCCTGATGGATGTGGAAGAGGTCACCTTAATGGAGAGAATACTTTTCAAAGACTGAGGGTGAAGCACCTCTCAGCACAAGCACATGTAAGCACAAGTCAGGGATGGGTAAAACAATGCTTGAATAACAGTGTTCATCTGAAGAATTTTCATTTTGTGTCTCAGAGGGGATTCCAGGTCCGGAAACAGATGCTCTGTCTTCTTTCTGCACCTGAATCATTTTAGCAATGAAAGGATCGATCTGCAGCTTACTCCAGTAGGAGGGTAAGTCCTTAGTAAAATACATTGTCCTTAATGTGTTCAACTCTATTTTGGTATAATCATTCAGAGATCAGTGATTTTTTTTCCTCTGAAGAATGTGATTAGCAGAGCATTCTCATCAGAATATTGAAAGTTCTTACTTTGCTAGAAGTGAGAGCATGAGTAGTGCATAGTGCAATTAATAATAATGGTTTAACATATTTATAAATATTTGGAAAATGATATAAGAAATTAGAGAAAAATGATCATTTCTATTAGCACTTTATCCACATTTTACTAAATGCATTTTACAGATTTAGACAATTTGTAGTTTTGTAAGTACATGTATACACAAACTTATTAGCTAAGTTAATTAAGTTTATCCTAATGAAAGGATTAGGTTCCGAATACAAAGCTTTGGGAACTGTTTTTGTTGTGTCATAAATTGTGGTGTTTGCATGCCTCTCTCATTGGCCATGTATATAGTATGATCAGCTTGGAAACTGTACTATCTATATTGTGTGTAACTATCAAAACCAATAAAGAGCATTTCTACTTTGAAGTTTCCCCAGAGTGTTACTTGATTTTCTAGCATATGATGATTGAAAAAAATAACTAAATATAAATATTGATATAATCCAATAAATATTTTCCAAATCTGTGATTCTAGCCCTCGGTGGGAAGCTGCAGCTAGGCAGGTAAAAGGCCTTGAAAAACTCTTGGTCTCTATCTGGTAACAGAACTCATACAAAAGAAGCAAGAATAAATCAATATCAAATTATAGATATTCAACTATGGGGAAAATAATATTTGACATCATAACTGCCTTTACTTGTTCTTGAAATTCAATATGATGAATCACTTAACTCAAAAATGAGAAAGTTAAATAGCATATATTCATTATCTGTTTCCAGGAATGTGAGACGACTTAAGAGTTGTAGGTAAATGCTCTAATAGATATAAGAGTCATGCTGACTTTTGTACCCCAAACTACTTACGGATTATCTAACTAGATAAAAATTAACAGGTATGTTGACTTTATCTTGTGCATCTCTTTTTGCTTAGTTTGTTTTTGGGAGTGGGAGAGTGAGGAAGTGTTTTTCTATCTTAATGTTATGCAGAATTTCCTCTTTATTCTCCAATTTTTGTCATATTTTGTATTTAATTTTTGTCATAAGCAATGTTGTATAGGAACTAAAAGCAAAATTATACTGACATCAGCAGTACAATTTGAAACAGAGAAATATTTATCCAAAATTGATTATACTAAAAAAAAAAACCTAACACTATTCTAAAATAAATTAAGTTTATTTTAAAAAAGGACAATAGGTGGATAAGTGAAGCTGGACAGGGAGGAGAGAAGTAGAGAAGACAGGGAGAAGGCAGGAAAGAGATCAGGAACACCTGAAATAGGCACATGGAGCAGAGACATGTGGAGAAGCTGTGTTTGTTTGACCTTTTACTTGTACCAGAGACTTGGGGAACATGGAAGGAGACACTTGAAAGAGACAGTGATGAGCTCTGTGGGGAGGCTGATAATAGCATTCTTTACTTGGTTGTTGTCAGCACAGCCACCAACTTGACTATCGTCATCACAACACCGGAGAGAAAAGGAAGAGTCCCAATACGTGGGAAGAACAGGTACATGACCTTCTTGCTCTGATAGGGAGTGGGAAAAATATATCTAAAAGAAGGAAGAGCCAACACTCTTTTTGCTTAACAACACTAATGTCAACCACACACTGGATAAGCTCATGTAATTCTTTAAAACTCAACTCAAATGTTTCTAAACTTCCTGATTACCAGCTGTTTGTACCCACTACTCTCATTGGTACTTACAGCGTATCATGCCAAAACTACTCACTATATGCAAGATTCCCCACTAAACAATTAGCTTTATGAATATAGAAAGAAAGTATATGTTATTCTTGCATTTTTGGAGACTTGGAGAAGTCTCTAACCTGCCACAGTTAGAGAAATGCAGTACACAAACTAAACCCACCACCATGAATCAGAACCCCCTTGCAAAAAAAAAACGAGCAGACTATGCAGACTCTTGAGCAAAATGACTTAGTGAACGGAAAATTGAGCACTGTGATTGGGTAGCAGGATGGGAAGTGTTTATGTTAACCAGATCAATGATTCCTATGCACTTGTCTGTGACTTAATAATGGGATTATTCTATGAAATTCTCCCAGTAAATCAGAGATTTCATTTGAAGCTTAAAATGTAAAGTCCATATATTATTCTGATGAAGTCATATCTATAAATCACTGGCCTAAATTATTTTATCAAAATTTGACCCTGTAAAACAACAGAATGTTATTCATCAATTTCCATCACCAAACAGGTCTATTACAATGGGTAATAATAATGATGATAAACTTAGAATAGAGTCTTAGCTCTTTCCATATTTAGTCTTAGAATCAAAGTTGAAAAGTCTCAAAGATATTCACATTTCCTATTTCTAGCTTACAAAAATGTGCTATTACACATAGGGCATGCAAAGCTCTAAGTAGAATTACCTGCCAAAATGAAAATGTAATTATATTGAGATAAAAGATATAGATTTATATTTATCAATATTTTTCTTTGTGCCAGTTGGTATATAAAATATTTTCAAAAGGCTAATATATAAAGTGTTCTGAATAAAGATTGAAAAGGTGCTTCAAAAATAAAAGGGTTATGGGTCTCCCTGTTGGTACAAGTGATTAAGTCTCAGCATAATGAAGCCATCTGTAGCATAAGTTAGATCCCCAGCCAGGGAGGTGACCCACACAGTGCAGCAGAGCTCTCCTGTCTCTCCTGGTGTAGATACCATTTATATAGGATACTAAGCTTAAAATGATTACATAAGTAATATAGCAATAAAGCATATGCCAATTTGAAATGGACATAATCTAGTAGACCAGACCTAAACATTAAATAATAAAATACAGGTAATATCAAAAGTCTCTTAAATTTTAGTACTTACAGTCTATTAGCAAGAGCTGCATTTTTAAAAAGGAAACACACAAAAACAAACGCATTTCCAAAATACCACCAGTCCATTGTAAGATAATGAGGTGACCTGTTTACATGGCTATGTAATGATTTATGTTGTTTCAATTAGGGATAATTGATGTATTTATATGTAATCTATGTGTAGGAGAGTCCCACTAAAGGGTCATTGACTCCATATGCCATTCCCCAAATCATACCCCAATGCAGGCTAATGACACTCATTACAGTAAAGTAGCATTCATGAAAGAATTTGGGAATTCAAATGGTCTTCCATAACATGGGATCTTGTTAATAGATTTTTCTCACTATAGAGCGACAGGAGAGGAAATATGGATATTTAGAGTAAAGAAATACAACTGCTTCTTTATTTACTTCAGCTTTCTCCACATCAAAACTAGACTTTATTTCAGTGTTTCTGCTACCCAGAAATGCCCCAAATTTCCAGTAAACCACCTTCCTCCTTTGGGTTGACTTCAAATTCATGCTGCCTTCAGTATTCACGAATGTGAATCCTTGAACTTCTCCATTATGAAGCATAAATAAGATTCTACCCCTTCCTTACATCCAATCAAGGCGTCCTGTATATTAAGTGCCACTCCCACAGCTCCTGTTCAGATCCTTGTCATTCTTTGCCTGGGCAATTGTGAAATAGACTCCTGACTTTTCTATTATCTTTCCTCTATAATTTCCCCTTCACACCTTGACCCAATCTATCTTCTTAAGTCACAAGTCAGATAACGTATGCTCCCTTTAAAGGAACTTGGAGTGTCTTTTTTTTTTTTTTTCCTACAGACTGAAGTCCAAAGTACTATATTGCTCATTAGTTATCTTTTGTGATTCTGGCTTCCCCTAGTCTTTCAAATTGTATCTTCTATACCTCTGTATCTATTGCATTCTCAAGAAAGAACAGATTTTCAGATATTTCTTCCAATGTAAAAGTTAAATAACTTTAGCAACAGGGACATTTAAGTACTATAATCAATTATTGATCTATGGTTACACAATGGCAATTTATTTATTTCTAATAGATTATATGCTAAACATGCTTTGATTAGGGAAATGAATTGTGCTATTAGGAAAAATATCTCACAGTTAATTGGTTGAGCTATGGGAGTTCATTCCAAAATGTAAGTAGTTTCTGTTGGTCAGAACCTGAACAAGTGGCAAAGTGATCATGAATTGGAACACACTTGTAACTACAGGCAGATGAGATAGAGGCAAGGGAGAGATGAATGTGGGGAAATGGTGCATACATTTGATCTTCATTCACCAGTTGCATGTATGGGACAATCACATGTCTGGGGTGGTATGTTTATATAAAATTATACATTTTTAGTGACCAAAGAGGTACTATAGAGCAAATAAAACAAGAATGTACATATGTCAAGGTAATTGGAATCTGAATTTCTGTGAGAACATCTAGCACATAGATTTCCTTGATTTGAATACTCTGCGGTGGTTTCTAGAGCCAGCAGTAATAAATGGAGCTAATGACTCCCCAGTTCTGTGAGATGAAAGCAAACTCTGGAGGCCACTGAAAGAGGAGAACATTTGGTGCATTCACTATTTACTACTGAACAGTAAACCCCAGAAATAGTCTGACACCTCTTATCTGATGTCGTTTGATGAGATAAAATTTAATTCTGTTTTGATACTAACTACCCAGAATTTAACTTCAAAGGTCTAAGTATGCACTTGCATAAAACCATTCTTACTTAAGATACCAGCCACAAATCTCAGGGGTCACCTGTACTTCACATAAACCACCTGTAATTAGAAGATACCCACAAAACACTCAGGTTCTTTTTTTTTTTAATGCTCTCAAGAGAATTAATCATCACTTTTTTAGTATTTTTTTTTGATTTGCCAGTCATTATGTAACATATAATATGGGGAGTACAGCTTCAAGCTTCACAACTCCACATGTACAAATGCTTCACTTAAGCTCAATAGTTCATTAAAATGAATCAACTCATTGAGAATTTTTCTTTCTATTGCTGTTTTGTGATAAAGGTTATCGGTAGGACAAAAATCAACAAATGTGTCAAATGAGGCTCCATGCACTCTCTCTGGAGGTCAGAACACCTTATAACGATTGCACATCGTTATGTTCACCAACCAGCAAGTTCTATTAAATCTCAGGGACTAAAGTTTTCAATGGAATGTAGGCATTATTTACTAAATCAGCAGTGAAGTGATTAACTACCATTCCTTGGAAGTTGGACTGACCCAAAAGTCCATATTTGTCAACATTTACAGATATCCTGAAGTTAACTAGAAATCCACCTCACTTAGCATAACAAAGAAACTTCTATCACTCAGGAAATTCCAGGGGCTCTAAAGAACTCTGTTGATGGGGACAAACAACAGATAAATTCTCCATTGCACCACACCATTGTTCCATCATGCAACATATTATTTACCACTTCAGCACTTATTTAAAAACTTTGCATTTGCACAATATTTACAGTGTATAAGAAATAAAAACAATACAAGAAACATCCCTATGCCTTTTATTCAGTTTCCTTTATTTAAACTTAGTTCATAAGCTTTTATCATTCTCTTTTTCTCTCTTTCTACACACACACACAAGCACACACAATTTTTTCTCCCAAACTATTAATATATCAAGGTATTGACTACATTCATCTTTTTCACTACTATAAAGGTTATAATAAAAGGTTTCTCTACTAAAAAGCTTCTCTGTCCATGTAAAAGTGAGCATGTTTTTTACAACGAAACATTATTTTGTGTTGTTGATAATTGTCTTTCTTCATCTTTACTAAAGGTCATGGGTAAAGATGCTATCATTTTATGTGTTGAGTCCTAGAAATGACATCCTATTATTCTGACCTACAGGTTTCCTAAGGACCCAAGTGTCTCTATTTTAAAGAAATAGCCCCACATTTTCCTGTTCCAGGAAATCCCTTGAGGAAATTGATGTTCTGCCATCAAGTCTGTTTAAATAGTAATTTTTTTCTAAAAGGAAATATTTTATAAAGAAAATTATTTAAATAG